ACAGCCATAACTGTCTAAACTGTTGGCAACAAAAGTGAGTGCATTTAATATTTGTGGAAAAGGTATTTGGAACTCAACCGCAGGGGAATGAAGATATTCGATACTGTCACTTTAAGAAAATAATATTTATTAAAATAAAGCAATTTTGCTTTGGCAATCTTCTGTAATAGGCATTTAAAATGATAATGCATGAGCCAAGATAAGTTTGCAGGTAATTGCTTCAATCTGAATAACGTTTGGCAAAATTAAATTAAATAAAGCAACTCCTTAATTGGGAACATATAATAAAGTTCTTTTAACTTCAGCAATAATAACACAAAGTTAAATCTTCTTAGAAAATGTAACTTTAGGTTCTGGCAGAACTAAATAATGAATAGGTCTCGTTAGGAGATGAGTAGCTGAATCCCAGAGGGCAGACAATTATATTCCTTCTTATCCTTCCCAATAGCTTCAGGTGCGAACCAATTAATAATCCCATGAACTGAAGAACCTATTTTGCTTACTGTGAATGATGTGCATTGAAGTCCTTTCCTTGAAGTATGTAGAGGAATAGAGGAAGTGGTGATGTCTGTTCCGAAGTCTGGGAGTGGAGAGGTCAGCGTTGTCAGAAGTAAGCCAGAGGGTTCGATACACAAAGAAGACAGCGTAGTCAGGAGAAAGCCAGTGGATTCGGTACACAGAGAAGTCAGCGTTGTCAGAAGTAAGCCAGAGGGTTCGGTACACAGCATTGTCAGGAGTAAGCCAAAAGGTGTAAATGGGGAGCAGGTGTGTTAAATCTGGTGTTATCGCTCTCACACTCTGTCATACTGGCACCTCATGGCAAAGAACTCTATGAGGATCTGAAAAAAAAAATTGTTGCTCTACAGAAAGATGGCCTAGGCTACTAGAAGATTGCCAAGACCCTGAAACTGAGCTGCAGCACAGTGGACAAGACCATACAGTGGTTTCACAGGACAGGTTCCACTCACAACTCACCTCACCTCACCAGAAGTTGAGTGCACGTGCTCAGGGTCATATCCAGAGGTTGTCTTTGGGAAATAGACATATGAGTGCTGCCAGCATTGCTGCAGAGGTTGAAGGGGTGGGGGGTCAGCCTGTCAGTGCTCAGACCATATGCCGCACAAACTTATTTGGTTCAGATGGTGTCAAGCGTGTGTGGCGGCAACCAGGTGAGGAGTACAAAGACAAGTGTGTCTTGCCTACAGTCAAGCATGGTGGTGGGAGTGTCATGGTCAGGGCCTGCATTAGTGCTGCCGGCACTGGGGAGCTAGAGTTCATTGAGGAAACCATGAATGCCAACATGTACTGTGACATATTGAAGCAGAGCATGATCCCCTCCCTTCTAAGACTGGTCCGCAGCGCAGTATTCCAACATGATAACGACCCTAAACACACCTCCAAGACGACCACTGCCTTGCTAAAGAAGCTGAAGGTAAAGGTGATGGACAGGCCAAGCATGTCTCCAGACCTAAACCCTATTTAGGATCTGTGGGGCATCCTCAAACGGAAGATGCGTAAGGTCTCTAACATCCACCAGCCCCGTGATGTCGTCATGGAGGAGTAGAAGAGGACTCCAGTGGCAACCTGTGAAGCTCTGGTGAACTCCATGCCCTCAAGTCAGACCACAATCCAGTGCAACTCCATGAGGGTTAAGGCAGTGCTGGAAAATAATGGTGGCCACACAAAATGTTGACACTTTGGGCCCAATTTGGAAATTTCCACTTAAGGGTGTACTCACTTTTGTTGCCAACGGTTTAGACATTAATGGATGTGTGTTGAGTTATTTTGAAGGGACAGCACATTTACACTGTAATACAGGCTGTACACTTACTACTTTACATTGTAACAGTGTCATTTCTTCAGTGTTGTCACATGAAAAGATATAATAAAATATTTACAAAATGTATATGTATGTATATGTTCTTCAGCCAATTTTCTGTTCTTCAGCCATTTTGATATTTTTTGAGTCCAACAGGTCATATTGTAGATTTATTGAGGGTGTGGATGGAGTCAAATTCAAGGGGTTGTGTCTAATATTCCACTATCTTAATTCTTCACCATCCGCCACAGAGGGTTAAACACTAGAAGAGGAAAGATAATTTGGTACGGTTTTGAGAGGTTAAATTATTGGCCTTTTGTAAATAAGCAAAATACCCTAAAAAAGAAAATATATCTAGATGTAGGCTTTGTGACAAGTATTTGTCTCTGTTTGATAAAGGCATGTAGAGGGATAGCCGGGCCACCCCTTGCAAGCCAAATGCAAGTGCACCTCTCTCTCTTTGAGACTCAGAACATACCAGTTATCACACTGCACCCAGTATCAATTCCAGAGCTCACTCCTTGTAATTAAATTTATTAATAACGAATAATGAATTGCATGGATGAATTTATTGACTTTGGGCTCCATCCATTCATCATCTGTCCATTGGACATATATACAAATGGTCCAAAATGAAGATGAAGGTAAATGTATCAAAATCCATTTACAATTATATGCATGTTGTTTTGATATAGCACTCTTTTAATATAGCACTCTTGGTAATTAGTAATAAAAAGGAGACATATACAGGGAGTGCAGAATTATTAGGCAAGTTGTATTTTTGAGGATTAATTTTATTATTGAACAACAACCATGTTCTCAATGAACCCAAAAAACTCATTAATATCAAAGCTGAATATTTTTGGAAGTAGTTTTTAGTTTGTTTTTAGTTATAGCTATGTTAGGGGATATCTGTGTGTGCAGGTGACTATTACTGTGCATAATTATTAGGCAACTTAACAAAAACAAATATATACCCATTTCAATTATTTATTATTACCAGTGAAACCAATATAACATCTCAACATTCACAAATATACATTTCTGACATTCAAAAACAAAACAAATCAGTGACCAATATAGCCACCTTTCTTTGCAAGGACACTCAAAAGCCTGCCATCCATGGATTCTGTCAGTGTTTTGATCTGTTCACCATCAACATTGCGTGCAGCAGCAACCACAGCCTCCCAGACACTGTTCAGAGAGGTTTACTGTTTTCCCTCCTTGTAAATCTCACATTTGATGATGGACCACAGGTTCTCAATGGGGTTCAGATCAGGTGAACAAGGAGGCCATGTCATTAGATTCTCTTCTTTTATACCCTTTCTTGCCAGCCACGCTGTGGAGTACTTGGACGCGTGTGATGGAGCATTGTCCTGCATGAAAATCATGTTTTTCTTGAAGGATGCAGACTTTTTCCTGTACCACTGCTTGAAGAAGGTGTCTTCCAGGAACTGGCAGTAGGACTGGGAGTTGAGCTTGACTCCATCCTCAACCCTAAAAGGCCCCACAAGCTCATCTTTGATGATACCAGCCCAAACCAGTACTCCACCTCCACCTTGCTGGCGTCTGAGTCGGACTGGAGCTCTCTGCCCTTTACCAATCCAGCCACGGGCTCATCCATCTGGCCCATCAAGACTCACTCTCATTTCATCAGTCCATAAAACCTTAGAAAAATCAATCTTGAGATATTTCTTGGCCCAGTCTTGACGTTTCAGCTTGTGTGTCTTGTTCAGTGGTGGTCGTCTTTCAGCCTTTCTTACCTTGGCCATGTCTCTGAGTATTGCACACCTTGTGCTTTTGGGCACTCCAGTGATGTTGCAGCTCTGAAATATGGCCAAACTGGTGGCAAGTGGCATCGTGGCAGCTGCACGCTTGACTTTTCTCAGTTCATGGGCAGTTATTTTGCGCCTTGGTTTTTCCACACGCTTCTTGCGACCCTGTTGACTATTTTGAATGAAACGCTTGATTGTTCGATGATCACGCTTCAGAAGCTTTGCAATTTTAAGAGTGCTGCATCCCTCTGCAAGATATCTCACTATTTTTGACTTTTCTGAGCCTGTCAAGTCCTTCTTTTGACCCATTTTGCCAAAGGAAAGGAAGTTGCCTAATAATTATGCACACCTGATATAGGGTGTTGATGTCATTAGACCACACCCCTTCTCATTACAGAGATGCACATCACCTAATATGCTTAATTGGTAGTAGGCTTTCGAGCCTATACAGCTTGGAGTAAGACAACATGCATAAAGAGGATGATGTGGTCAAAATACTCATTTGCCTAATAATTCTGCACTCCCTGTATTCATTTATTTCTATGTATGCCCTTTGACATGGTCCATTTGGCAGACTGGTAAAACAGGTTTTCCTTGCATTCCAGTACAGGATATAAACAATCACTTTTAAAGATCATGTTTGTGTGAGTAGCTAACATTGACTGCATAATGATATTATCACAAATATGCACTATAGTAACTATAGTAAGTGGAAAATGTATGCTGTCGGCTAGATAGACTGTAAATGTATATATTTGCTTATTTTAGTCTTATCAGTATATGAGTGAATTTGGTGAGGCTATTATCTCAATCTGAGTTATTAGTAAACATTTAGTGAAATGTACCTCCTGTTAGGGGGGAATGTGTCTCCAATAAGGTGCTAAAGATCAAGAATAAATTACAGCAGCTTAAAAACACTTGTGTGGAAATACCCTCTTATCCACACTTAATGTAGTCCAAAAACTATAAGGCGGTATGAGTGCAAAACCTACACCTATAAATGGAGTAAATTAGTGTGCAGTACATATGAAAAGAATAAAAAAAGCAATATAGTGCAGATGGTACATAAAGATAAAATCAGATAAAATGGTTGTGACGTGGAACACATTTAAAGGAGCGTGTATGTGAACTCCGTAATAAGGCTTATATGCTTTTAAGGCAGCATCACACCTGCAATCCACGATATGATGTATCTCAAAGATAAAAATAGAGAAAAGGGAACAAATGTGCAGTCTGTCTCAATTGGTGCAGTGGTGAGAATAAGTAAAGTGCTCACCTTTTTCAGAGCCCTGTATTCCCCTAAGTAGATTCAGTAGGCTCCAGAGGACTATTTAAAATGATTAAATTTATTAATGCAATATCAACAAATAACATATATAATACTAGAGTATAAAAGTCCTGGATAAGCCAAAACACGTTTCACTCTTGTAGAGCTTCCTCAGACAGCTGACTGAGGAAGCTCTACAAGAGTGAAACGCGTTTCGGCTTACCCAGGACTTTTATACTCTAGTATTTTGTATGTTATTTGTTGATATTGTATTAATAAATGTGGGATAGGCATAAGGCTATCCTAACTATAAGATAAAGCCATGGACTAATGAAAGTATTTAGAAAATTGGGCAGACTAGATGGGCCGATGGTTCTTATCTGCCGTCACATTCTATGTTTCTAATACAGCCTCCAGGAGTAGTTATGGTGCCAGGAAAGCCCCGATGTAGTCCTATTGTAAGTAGTCAAACCGTCTTAGTACTGTTTGAAAATTTACCTGGGATCTGTCAGGACTTGTCTTCTGCAGGAGACTCCAGTCATCTCTACAGACATAAACAGAGCCATGCAAAACCACACTCACTGGCTGAGAGAGTCAGATGGGTGCTCTTAACACAATGAGTGAGATAAAGGATTTAACTTTGCCCATCTATAAAGTTTGTTTCTCCGGGTGGAAAAAAGATATCCATTAATAGACCATTAAAATTCAGAGCAGGTAGGGTTCAGATATTTTCCAAGTGACTCAAGTTGGATAGGCTTGGATTTCCAGCAGTAAGGGAAGCTATATGTAGTACGCTGCTCCACACCAGGGGCAGGATGCAGTTCATTACTTTCTATTTTGTAGAATTTATTGTGCAAGTAAGAGAAGCTGTGAAAATAATGAAATGATAGTGGAGGAGAGAATCAGTATCATATCATCAGCAAATGGCTAACTTTGGATTCTTCCCACCTCCATCTCTACACCACTGATTCCAGGGCCATCTCCAATAGCCCAGTCAGATGGCTTGATCGCCAAGGAGAACCGCAAGTGGGAGAGGGCTAACTTTGGTCACATCTCACATGCCATTCTGTATCCAAAATTGAGCAGACAGGGCAGAGATGATTCACTCATACAGAATTGAGGGACCAACCCCCCAGGTGAGGTCCCTAAATTCCAAACTGTTTGAGGGTTGCCCCCAATTAAGACTAATCGACTATTTCACAGGGATTATTTTTCAGCTTCCACAGAGAGGAGCATCACAAGTCTATTCAAAGCCCTAACTGGTGAATGGTATTAATAAGGCTTCTGTGATTATCTCAGCCCTCTATTAGCTGGGATGAAGCCTCTTAGTATAACAGAGTAACACCAAATTTTAGAAATCCCTGTACTTCTCTATCCATAACAACAGCTTGTCATTACCTGTTAGTCTTAAATTTTATCTCGTTCTTTGGACTGGTCAAATATTATTTTTCAGGATATTATGATATCACTTTGATAGAGTTTTAAATTAATTTTATTGGTATTGTACACCAAGCATGTCAAACTAAAAGTCTAGCACGGGCCAAATAAACAAGGTTTAAGTTTATGTGGGCCTCAAAAAAACAACAACTTAAATTTTCATAGAAACGTAGGTTTATTTTTTAAAGTAAAGTATAAAAAAAAAACAGCATCCCCCTTTACTAAACCACAGCATCTCCTCTACTCAATCTCAGTCCTCCCCTATACTAAATCCCAGCATCCCCCTCTAGCCAATAAGCAGACTCCACTCACATTGCCGCTGTCAGTATGCGACTCCAGAGTCCGGCCTCTGGTTTACCCCAAATGGTGCTGGCCGCACCATGTGCCAAAGCGGATCCTCCCACTACTTCTTGAAACCCTGTGAAGGTGGAGCATGTCAACGTAACGTCGGAATGTGATGTGGCGTTGCGTGCCTCCGTGCACCTCCAGGTACTCCACTGTCCAGCCGCGGCCATCGCATCACTGACCGACACACACTCACTGACACACAGACACACTCACTGACAGACACACACACACTGACACACACACTGACATACACACTAAAATACACACAGACAGACACACTCACTGACAGACACACAGACAGACACACTGACTGACAAACACACAGACAGACTCACTGACAGACACAGACACTGACAAACACACAGACAGACACACACACTCATTGACAGACACACACACATTTACAAATACTTGCACACACTCACATACTTTCCTGAGGTCCAGTTGGGATCTTCTATCTGGAGCTCAGTCTTCCTGCTCCTCAATGCTCCCTCATGCGCAGTTTAGTGATGACACCCAGCATCACTTCAGACGGAGCGTGCAAGGGAGCAGTGAGGAGCAGGAAGACTGAGCTCCCTCGCTGCTGCCAGTGACCTCTCCTCCCTGGCCGGGTAAGGTTTAGCAGAGTAGGCACCTGCAATGTGGGTTCTTATTCAGCTTTAACACGAAGCATATACTCACGGCTCGCCGGGCCACAAAAAGATCCATTGTGGGCCGAGTTTGACATGCTTGACATACAATATGTTGCTCATTTGTTGCTGGTTTGTGATATTGATTTTCTTCAATTCTGCTGCGACAGATATTCTCTTGCTTCATTGAACCATGATACCTTAAGGATTTCTATTTGACACTGATAGAGAGACAGTCTTGTTACACTTCAGATACTTTTTTGTGCAGGTGGAATGGAAAAAAGGCATTGGTGTTACCAAGTTTATTAAGCTAGCTACAAATTATACAGCAAAAGCTATTTCAGCAAAAGGTATAAATTATGTAAAAAGTACATAGCATTATCTTGGTAACCTCTGCAACCAAGTCTGCATTGTGTTAAAGGGATAATCCAACCCTTTTTTTGGAGGAGGGCCAGGGGAACCTTTCCCTATATAATATGTTTTATTTGGGAAGTATTACTTAGACTCCCCTCCACACCCCCTTTGTGCAATAAACCTACAAAAAAAGATTTTTACTTAGCTGAACTCTAAAGCTGGGTGAATCTCTCTGCGCTACCTTCCACACCCCTTAATAACATCAGACAGTGCCTTACGTGGTCCAATCACAGGTTTCTCATATGAAGACCATTTTGCCGGAGCGAAGCACAAGTGGCATGGGGGTAGCGTGATTTATTTTGTTATTTGAACAAGCAATATTATTGGGAGGTGGGGAGGGGAAAAATCTGAAAACGTCCATTGCCCGTGTGCTATGTGCGCTGATGATGGATTTATTTTATGCACAGAATTGACATTAAATAGACCAAAACAGATTTCTGTGCTGCCAAAGTCATGTGAGCCGGGGGTGCAACTGCACACAAGTGCAGATTACTCTGTTTGTGCAGCAAAAATGCTGCACGTACAGATTCCCAGCACCATAACCACTGTAAATCACTTGCGTGGCCATGGTTGTTGGAGTAACCTTTTAAATATTGGGAAACGATGTAAAAAAACTAAACTAAAAAAATATTTACGGCAAGCTAGAAATCCAGGTGCTTAGAATGAATTGTTTTTTTTTCTTCTTTTGCATGTAGCTGTTTCAACAAGCCCAGCATGAATTACATCACTTCCTAAGAACACAGTTGAATGTGTCTCCATAGCTCAGATGAGAAAATATTCAAAGATAGAGAGAAAGGAAACAGGAAATGTTAGTGTTCCTCAGAGAAAGTGTTGGAGAAAAAGAGATCAAGAAGTAATTATAGAGAGTCAGAAAAGAGCATCTGTGCAGGCATGCTGAAGTACCTCTGTGCCACCTCGTTTGCCCTTTTTCTGCTTGTTGCTGGTAAGTGCCTTTGGCATATGGCATTGTTTAAGTATATACTAGTCTCTAGGGGTTACTGTATGAGCAATCCCTAGCTTGTCTGTTCATTTAGATTACAATGTTTTGTTCAGAAACCAGTCTGAGGATTTTCTGTACAAAGGTCAAACGTGTAGATACCTATTTGTCTTAGAAAAGGGAAGGTTTAACCTGGCTGTTCTTTTGCTCTTTGAAAAGTTTAAACTTTAATTCTTATTACACTCTATTACATTGACTCACTATTTCTTGTCTCATAAGAATACAGGAAAATAGATTTTTGTCATTCCAAAATTCTGTAAGCTAAAAAAAAATAAAAAAAATGCATGTTGTAAGATGTTACAATTATCCGCACTTTATCCGCATTTTCGTTAAAGCAACTCTCCAAGCACCATAACCACTACAGCATGTTATAGTCGTGACTATGTGGTGTTGGTTCCTGTCTCCACTATAGCCATCAGAGACCCGATATGCTTGATATATTGTATTTATGTACAGTATAATAAATTCTGACATTGGGATGTATGAAATCAGGAAAGGAGATGGATGACTCTATAAGGACATGCCAGTGACATAATTTGCAAGACGTAAAATGGACAGTTTTGCTTACATGACAGTCTGCCTGACCGGCCACACTTGGGCCAGACCACCATTCATCACAGCATAATCGCATGTAGTGATACTCTCACTTTGCACTTGTTGGGTCAGATCCGTGGGGTGCCCAGATGCAGGATACCAAGAAACCAATCCAGAATGGTCGTAAAATGGTTACAGAAGCCCTAAATCAGTATGATCCAGCCAGATGCCAGACTGTTAGAATTATGGGTGTAGGAAACAGTGGCAGTGGGAGGGATAAATCCCCCAAGAAAACCTAGTGTAGGGATAATAAAAGTGGTAAGATTCCACCCATCATAATGATGTAGCCAGAAGCATAACGGAAAGGGGGGGGGTCTTGTAAGGTTCAGCCTAAAGTGACACTTTTTGGATGTGGCACGAGGAGAGGGCCAATGACTTGTCACAGGGGGTCCAGAAGGTGGCCGACTAACCACCTTAGTGCACCTCGAGGGCAAAAACGTATTTACCAAGGTAGAGTCGGCACCTGCTTACCTGGATATATTGGGTATGGGAGGGAGAGAGCAAGCAGGCAGCAAGGGAACAATGATAGTCTTCTAGTTCCTCACTGCTCCCTCTCACGCCCTCTGTGGTGATGCTGGGAGCCAGAATATGATGGCATTCCGACCCCGGTATCACTAAACAGTGCGAGGATCTGAAAGATTACCAGAGCCACTGGACCACATGGAGTAGATCCCCACTGGACCACAGGGAGTAGATCTCCATTGGACCCCAGGTAGAGGACCCACCCAGCTCTCCCAAATATGATGACCCACCCAGCTCTCCCAAAGGTAGGGAGGCTGGAATGGCTGAAAAAATAAAGCCACAAA